GAATATGGCGAAGTCTTCTGGTCGATTTCCTTGACGATGGACATAAATAGCACAGGCTTTTAAATGGCACTTTCTTCAAATTTGCAATTAAAGATTACTTATATTTTTGAATAAATGGAAAAAAAAACCATACCGTAACTGTTATTAAAATGACCTTTAGAAATTGGGGGAGGATAATATGTATGCAGTTTGTTTTATGCATTTAACTAGTATGTAATTGAGACATATTCTAAACCAGCTCATTAACAAAAAATTGCTATACTATACATTAAAGCTGCTTAATCCGAAACAGGCACATATTATCTTACACAATAAAAGTTCGTCATTACATAGATAATATATAAAAGTACATTATAAGATTGATTTAACAGTTTATTGCAAAACAAAGACCAAAAAACCTTATTGACAAACAGAAGTTCCTGACAGGAAGTTAAGGTGTGTTGTGAAGTCACCTTTGAAGAAAATATATTTATCGGATATATCTAATCATGAAGATACTTCAAACCTGAGTCTTTTTTCCCATTATAGTAGAGGCCTAAGTCATAATATATCTTTTAAAAATCAAGAAATTAATTGAATAGAATCCATAGTAATTTTTATATTGATATGCATATTAAAAGAATAAAGGAAAATCAGATATTTTAAAAAGGAAGTATAGTAACAAATGCTAAAATACTGTCCGCGTACAGGTATAAGTGCTTAATTGTGGTAAAAAAATGCTTGGGTATGTTTTTCATGAGGTATTATCGATAAATTTAATTTTTTGAAGGTGATTTCACACGATATTAACATAGGATTATTTTTTGTGTGACCTAAGAAAAATTATTTTTTTTAACTTTTGAATTTTGATATCTTTAAAAGAAAAGACTTTAGGGATATAATTCGACAAAAGTTGAAACAATTTATGGACAATTATTTTTCGAGAAAAAAAAATGAATATATTTTACGCGATTAGAATTGAACTTATCGGTTTTAACGAAACTCTATAATATATAACTTGATATATATGCATCCGAATAACGTATTTAAGCAATGTATGTAACTTAAGGATTATTGATCAAAATTTAACTTTTTCTGAGACTACTTAAAAAATAATGTTCGCTTGCTCTGATTAGACTCCAAGTATAATTATGGGCTCGGCAGGTAGATGGAAAAGTATTTTATTTTGGACATTTTCAACAAATTTGATTGAGTGATTGTATATTGTTTAACTTCCCTCTCATAAATGTTTCACTCATTTGGAGACATCATCGTATGCCGGTGAGGGGCTTCAAATTTTGACCTTTACTCGGCACTCAGGGCCATGAACAGTGAGGGATCTTTATCGTACCAACGCCCGCAGTTGACACGGGCCCTCGGTTTGTAAGGTCTCATTCGAAGGACACGCACCTTTCACTTCAAAGTGCCGAGCGCATGGCAAAGGAACAGTTGCTATCCATTTTAACGACCTTTTTAACGCGGCCGAGATAGGAACTCAAGACATCCCGATCACGGAGCGAGCGCTCTACCGACTGAGCTACCGTGAGCGGTCAACAAATTTGTTGAAGGGATGAGACGAATAATCAAAAACAAATATCGCGTCCTGGAATGTAAAACGTTTTGAGTCGGGCCATTTCAGTCAGTCGGTCGGTATATAACCAAACAACTCTTTAAAGGTTGTCTGATACGTATATGTTACATCATAGATCCCGAGTAGTACTGATTATATCGGTTTCATGGAGCGTGGAAATCGAGGACCAATCAATAGTACGGGGCAATCTATGATGAAAGCAACTTGTCGTATGTCTGATGATGTAAATTTTATTGTGAGTGTCAAAATTAAATTTTAAAAAATGTTGACCTAATTTCTGCCTCCTGCTGTGATATGTGAAGGGGCGTGGAAAGTATTATCGCATATGTGATATGAAATATATTACCATAGAAGGATCGACGAAAATCACCGCTGATATGTGACAATTATGCATGGTACATATAATGAGTTCATCAAATCTTTTTTTATGTAAAGAACATGGCTAAGTTATTGTTTAGGTATACATTTGGAATTTAAAGTTGATTTACTTGATGGTGTATATAAATACAGTTTTTTTGGAAGCACTAGGGAATTATCTGTGTTCTCATTTTGTTTTTTACTTTAAAGCTCTCTGCTTTTTTGTTACTATCTAGTAATAATACGTCGAATTTTACTTCGTTTATCGATAAATTGTGATTTTAAAGAAATTGTGATTGTTATTGAATGAAAGCTCTTCAGAGCACTGGCACATGACTTTACATATCATTTTGACAAGATAAATTCCTTTTGAATTAACAATTTAAATCTTCATTCAAGCAAAACCTATTCAAGAACTCCCGAGTCCGAGTATTGTATGCAATAAATAGGATTTTTATACACATGCGCTGATACGGATCTGTGGGGCTGCTACGGATCGATATCACGTTCCCAGTAATTTAAACCTCAGAAAACAGTGGTGATACACATATTTTTGGATACACATCCTTTTTAAACTTTTTGACTGTAAGGATCATCTAATTGACATACGATTGTTTTAAACTACAGATGGGGCACATTTGAAATTGAAGTAGAAACATACTCAAACAATATGATTAGGTGACAATGTGTGAATGATACAGCCCGTTGGATAAACCTATCGTCGCTGTAATATCAAAATGTCGTAAGTCGATTTTTGGCGGGAAATTTTTATTGCTATTTTGGAATCTGCAATATCAAATACATGTTCTGTCAAAACGTCAAGTCTCTAGGCCAATTAGAAAGTGAGATACAGACGTGTGATAAAAGCGCGTATGTCCATTGGATGCATTCTTTTTCTGACAAAAGGTCGTATGTCTTTGGGCACTGACAAAGATGTCACTGGCAGTCTGATATAAAGGGAAAAAGTTTAGTAACTGCAATCAATTTATGAGTATGTTAATTCATAAAATACATTTTAGAATGTTCTAATATCAGATTCGTATGCTTACAATACATTAAAAGGGTTTGTTTCAATGCTTTTCTGGAGATACGACACTTTGTACTGAAAAAACATCCAGGACATAAAGGAAAACACAAGACATACGACATTTTGAAATAATATATGTTTTTGTCTCTCCTGAAAAGTTGGGATTTTTGACTTACGACAATTTGATATTACAGCGACGCTATGTTTTATCCACAGGTAGATGCTTTAACAATAGTACTTCCGGTTTTGACACGATCCCTTGCTTCAAGATTTTATTTAATTTATTTAATTTATTTTTTTTATTTTTAAAAAGTCTTGCCCTCCTAGAATGAATGGTAAAGAGCAATAATGTAGTTAAAAGCAAGAAAAAGTCTCTTATATGTCAGAGAAGTTTTATCAATGTACCTGTATTGGCTACTCGAAGATAGATGATAACCCCCCTCCCCTTCCTTTAAATCATTTTAAAGAAAGTAAAGCCTACTAGTTACGTTTTTGTTACAAAATTCCTCTAACATCTTCAGCAATACCTTCTTATATTATACTACGTATGTTTATCTAGTAATTTAGGTGTAAGTTACCATGGATCAACCGTAATGAGTGTACAAATTAAGTCGAAATTCTTTGAATAAAACAAAGTTCAAAACCAAAGGTCCATAAACTATACAAAATAATAGCATTGCAAACACAGATTACTAAAACATCAAAGATGAGATCTGGTGCCATAGAGGAGTGCGCATCTGTAGCGGGTATTCCCGGCAGTATGATGGAAAACACAATATATGTTGAAGTTTGCACTTTAATTATGACATCTCTAAATTGACAATCGATGATATGGAATTTATAATGGATTTAATGGAAACAATGGATATGTCCTGCAATATACAAATTGCATCATAAAAATATGTACAAAATATTATTTCAATTAAATATTCCGATTATAAAATATAACAAATTATCTGTCTTCCCTTTTACAATACATTATCATCATTCTTTATGATAACACATGAAGCATATACTTTATACATGATATAAAAGGGAGGTAACTCTTATAATGCAATTGAACTTTACAATCTTGTGAAGAGTTATCTTTCTTTGATATTTCTTTACAAATCATAAAAATATATAGACATATAGACATACCAATTTATGGAATTGAACTGTCTCCAATGCAAGTTTACATATTTTTATTTTATGGTGTTACCTATGTACAATAAATATAATACTAAGGACTTGCTCTATACAAAGACCTTTCTCAAAATAAATAATTATTTAAATTATCTTGATTATCAAAATCTTCACTTCAAAATATTTCCAGGTTTATATACAAATTGATCAATGTGAAAACTTCATCAGATTTATCAATATCTGAATAAATAGACAGATAACTCAATATGTTAACATAAAAAGTAAAATATCTTGTTTTCTATATTTTTAACATAATATTATAGAAAACATATGTAATAGCATAAAACAAGTAAAAACTTACATTTCTAGAACTGTCTTAGGTCTCAAGGTCTTAGGAAATAAATAATTTCAACAGCAAAAAACAAACTAGGTCTTCTCCATTAGAAGTCAGAATTTCAGAGCTTAAACTGAATAAAACTCACTAAACCACAAAGACCAAAACACTAACCAATGAAAACTAAGCATTTCAAAAACTGACCAATAGATATGTGCGTGGTCATGTAAAAGTGTATGTACAGGTGTGGATCCAAAGGGGTGTATAACTATATCACTAAATACCCAAGTTAGTAAAGAATGAAAAGAATAAAGCTTTAACGGAAAACTATCATTTATAACTTATTTAATAATTTATTTAGTTTATATTTAATTTATATTTAATATTTATTTTATATCATTTAAAATCACTTCAACTTTTATTATTTCAAATAAAAGTACCTCTACTACAAACTCCCCCCCATTAGAAAATGACGTCCCCGTCATTTCTCTAATGGACTTACTAACTATACTCTGCTCTGTTCCTGCAATTCTTCAAGTTAACTGGACGATCTAAAATAAAAACAAATATATACAATTAAAATCAGATTAATTTCTCTTTAAAATATCTAACATGGTCTGAACTATTTCCTTTTCATAAGACTTCATCTCTGTTGAAGATTTCAAACGATGTAGATAGTCACACTTCTTCATCCATTCTTGTTGCTGCTGTTGTTGTACTAAAACAAATTCCTGGGGGTTCAACCTATCTGGTTTTCTTCTCTCCCTAGTACTTCTCCTTGGTAACACTGTTACAGGTTCTTCTTCTTTATCATCAGATCTGGGACTACTAGCTTCAGCATGTTCCTGCTGTGGCTCTGCCTCTGTCTGTACTGGCAGTTGTTCCGTTACTCTCTCCTCTGCATCATGATGCTGTATTTTTTCTTCTCTTTCCTGTCTCTGCTCTATCTGATCCATCTTTTCTACGGGTCTCTGTACAGTCTGCTCTCTAGGGCTATGTACAATCTCCTCTCTAGGGCTATGTACAATCTCCTCTCTAGGGCTATGTACAATCTCCTCTCTAGGGCTCTGTACTCTCTGTTCTTCTGATCTGTGTACACTCTGCTCACCTGGGTGTTTACTAACATCTACTGGGATGTTAACCTCAGGGATCATTGGTACCGGTACCGGAATAAATTCTGTATCTGAGTCTTCATCAGAACTAACTCTGTCATCTTCTGATTCTCTAGTCTCTGGTGTTCTCTCTTGAACCTGTTCTTGTTTCTTCCGTGTTTGCCTCGTCCTGGGTTTAGGAGTGGGTCTGGAAGATGATGGTGATGATTCATCTATACTTGCTTTATATGAATCTAGATGTCCAATAGGGAGTAGAAGGTTTCGATGTAAAGTCCGAGATTTTCCTTTTGTTGTTTCTTTCTGTACTTTATATACTGGGATTTCTGGATTAGGATGTTCAATTACCAAGTACGGCTCTTCTTCCCACTTATCAGCAATTTTGTGCTTTCCATCAAAAGCTACAATTTTTACAAGTACTCTATCTCCTAATCTGTATTTCTGCATTTGTTGTTCTTCTGTCATAAGTGTCTTTCTGTCTTTTCTGTGATTTCTTGGTAATTTTGTTCACTAGTTCGTAAGCTGCTTTCATGTTTTCTTTCAAGTTGCTGATGTATTTGGATACTGATTTCTTTTCTTCTTTCTTTAGGCCAAACTCTATGTCTATAGGTAATTTTGGTTCACGTCCAAACATAAGGAAATATGGGGAAACTCCGGTTGACTCGTTCTTGATGCAGTTGTACGCATGCACTAACGGATTAATATACAGCTTCCAGTTCTGTTTCTGTGATGGTTTCAGGGTTCCTAGCATGTTGAGTAAAGTTCTGTTATATCTCTCACATTGACCGTTGCCCATTGCATGGTAAGGGGTTGTCCTTGACTTTTTCATCCCTGTAATCTGACATAATTCTTTGATAATTTGGCTCTCGAAATTAGCTCCTTGATCTGAATGTATCCGTGTTGGAATTCCGTAATAAGTAATAAAATTGTTGTATAACGCTTCTGCTGTTGTCTTTGCAGTCATGTTGCGTGTTGGTACCGCATGCGCAAAACGAGTGAAGTGGTCAGTTATAACAAGTACATGTTGATATCCTCCTTTACTCATCTCTAATGTCAAGAAATCCATGCAGACAAGTTCTTATGGATAAGAAGAATTGATGTTGACTAATGGTGCTTTCTGATTTGTTGATTTCCTGTGCACACATCTGTTACAGTTCTTGATCCAGTTTTCAATGTCTTGGTGCATTCCTACCCAATAGAATCTGTCTTTGACTAGAGATGATGTTCTTTCTCTACCCGGATGGCCAAACTTGTTGTGTAATTCCATCAAAACTTTGTCTTTGAATGATGTGGGTATTACCAATTGCTGATTCACATTGTCAGATGAATTTGTTTCCCTGTAAAGAATATTATTGATAAGTCTAAGTTTATTGAAATTCCTAACTAATGCCTGTGAATGAGGATGAAATGGTAAGTCCTCAAGTCTAGGTTTCTTTTGTAGCTTTACATGATGAATCCAGGATCTAATAGTCGGGTCGTTTCTCTGAACACTATACCAATCTATCTGCTGGTCAATAACATCCTGTTGAGAAAAATTTTTATCAATAATTGAAGTATCTAAGGACAAAGTAGTGACAAGTGGCTCTGCATGAACTGCTTTACATACGGCTTTGATGGAATCTGTAGAAATGGACTGAAAATTATCATTAGTTGGTCTTCTGGACAGGGCATCTGCATCTTGATTCTGTTTACCAGGCCTGTAAATAATATTGAAATCATAAACTGATAAAGCTGCTAGCCACCTATGCCCTGCTGCGTCAAGTTTGGCTGACGTCAGTACGTATGTCAAGGGATTGTTGTCCGTCAGTACTGTGAATTTATGTCCATAGAGATAATCATGAAATTTTTCACAAATAGACCATTTCAAAGCTAAGAACTCTAATTTGTGCGCTGCGTAGTTCTTCTCTGTAGGACTTAGACTGCGGCTGGCGTAGCTGATGACTCTTTTTCTTCCTTGTTGTTCTTGGTACAGTACAGCTCCAAGTCGTAGCTTGCTGGCGTCTGTATGTAGCTCAAATGGAAGATTGTAATCAGCATATCCAAGAATCGGTGGTTCTGTCAAGAGTTGCTTAAGATGTTGGAAGGCTTGTTGTTGTTCTGTTCCCCATTTAAATTCCTTTGCTGCTTGTTTTCCCTTTTTGTCCTTCTTACTATTAGCTTTTGGCATCATTTCTGTCAATGGCTTTGAGATTTTACTGAAATTGGGGATAAATCTTCTGTAATACCCGATGAAACCAATAAACTTTCTTATTTCTTCCGGTGTACGTGGAATGGGCCAATCCAGGACTTTCTGTACTTTCTCTGGGTCTGTCTCTATTCCTTCCTCTGAAACAATGTGGCCTACATACTTTACCTTCCTCATAAATAGGTTACACTTCTTTGGTGATAGTTTGAGTCCTGATTCCCTAAGTTTGTCAAAAACTAGTTGTAATCTGTGGATGTGTTCTTCGTATGATCTTGAAAATATGATTAAGTCGTCGAGGAAAATAAAACAAATATTCAAATGTAGGTCTCCTAAACAGCTCTCCATTAGACGTTGGTAAGTCGCAGGGCTGTTTGATAGTCCGAATGGTAGTCTGTTAAATTCGTAAAATCCGAGAGGTCCTACGGTGAAGGCTGTACGCTCTTTGTGTTCTTCTAATATCTCTACCTGATGGTACCCGGACTTCATATCCAAAACTGAAAAGAAACTATTTCCTGAAAGAGCATTAAGAATTTCTTCTATCCTCGGTAAGGCATATGCATCTTTCTTAGTCCTCTGGTTAAGTTGTCTATAATCTATACACATCCTTAATTTGTTGTCCTTTTTTCTAACTAAGACCACATTACTGGAGAATGGTGAACTTGATTTTCTTATGACGTTGGAATCTAGAAGCATTTGTAAATGGTTTCTGATCTCTTCAAACATAGCAGGTGGTATTCTTCGTGTTCTCTGTTTAAAAGGTTGTTCATCTAGTAGGTCAATCCTGTGTTTTACGGTGTTGTTAAATCCAATATCAGTCTCGCCTTTTGAAAATATATCCTCGTATACCTCTGAGTAGTTCATGTACTTCCTGTATCTGACTTGATGATAAGTTGTCAGTAGATATTTTCACATCCTGTAAATGAGTTATCTCCTCTTGTTGTATATGTTGAGGCTGATCTATGATGGATACTGGGTGTATCTCACAAAGTATTGCCTTCGGATTAACAGTCACTGTTCTTGTTGTCAAGTTGCTAATATTGACTGGTATGGTTTGATTTTCTTTGAAGTTGAAGTTGACGACAGATGGTTCAATGTCAAGATCTGTTGGAATTCTTGAGTATTTAGTTGATTGTAGCAGTGCACAAGTTGAGTGGTATGGGATCTTTCTATCTGCATATCCATTAATCACTACTTGGCTATTTGGACGGATGGTGATTGTCTGTTGTTCGACTGATTTCACAATGGCTAATCTGAAATTCTGCTTCATTAATGTTTTCTCTCTCAGGTGTAAACTTCTGAATGCCAAATACCAAGGTGTTTGTAATGGTGTTTCCTGCAAGAACTTTTCTCCATACTGCTGATGAGTGTTGTTGAGAAATAAGTTGATGATGTTGGTTCCTAACAATATTGGAGTTGATTTGCTGTAATTCGAATCTGGTACAATCAAGAAAAGGCATGGTAAAGGTTGACAGTTGGGCATTCCTATTGGCTGAATTTCTGTTTCAATGTACCCTAAGTAAGTAAGAGAATTTCCATCTGCACACTCGATATTGATGAAATCTTGTATTGGATGAATATGATTTTCTTGCAGATTGTCTTCATAAAATGATCTTGATATTGTGGATACTGTTGATCCTGTATCTAGTAAGGCTTTGGCTTTAATCTGTGAAATCAAAATTTCTGTTTCTGTTGAATCACCGATCAATTTCGGCTGGTACATGGGGCTCTGTAATCTCCGACCTATCGTCGTCCCCTTACCGACGGTCGACGTCCGTTTAAATGTCCTCTGTAATGGTCAACGTTAACCCGACATCCAATTTGGAGGTGACCCTGTTGGCCGCATCTCCAACATATAACTTCCTCAGAGGCTGTTGATTGTGGATTCTGAAATCTGGTATTTTGCTGCATCTGAGGAGCCTGATATCTGTATGGCGTGCTGAATCTATGAGGAGCTCTAAATCTAGGAGTGTAATTTCCTCGTGTCATTCCTCTTCCTCTATACTGATCATATCTCCTTTCTCTCTTCATCTCCTCTAACTCTGTTGACAGTCTATTCACAACACCTCTTAAATCATCTGTATCCTCCTGCTTTCTGTCCACAGTAACTCTCTTTGATGGTATGGGTTTTGACTGTTTTTCTGATTCAGCTCTTTTCTCTTTGTCCTGCTCGATTACTCTCATTGCCATTCTCAGTTCACGTTCACTCCTGACAGGTCAAACTTGCCCTGTACTCTACGTTGTGATCGGGAAATAACAGCAAAATCCGTCGTAATTTAGTGTAAAAATAATGGACTATAATAATAAGTATGCAAACGTTATTCAGCATTTGACTCAATGATAAATTGTGTTTGCTTACACGGCTATTGTATAGACTATAAAACTTGTAAAACAACGACTTAATACAAGACTGCAGATATTCCTTTTTCATCTGTTTGTTTATACTTTACCTCGCTTTAGAAAATTGTTCATACGTAGAAATAAAGTTTCTCAATGCAATATTTACATTGCATGTTGCTCCAACAAAATA